ATCTGTGCAATTTCTTAGAAGCAAAAATTGTCTTATCAGTTTCTCCTAATACGATTATGTTTTTTAGGCAGTCACTCAGTCTTATGTATTTCCGTATTTTTTGTTTGGTTGTGTTATTTCTTAATGTTCCTACTTAGATTTTTAATGTAATAAAGTATTCACTTAAAGTTCTCAACTAATTTGAACAAAACAAGATGTGCAGGTATAGTTTTTTCCACTGCAGAGAAAAGCAAGCAGATAAATGTGTGCATCAAACTGTTAGAACTGCAGTCTTCAGTCTGTATTTTTAAATTATCTCTTACTGCTTTAGATTTATTTTTACATAGCAACCCTACCTCTGCAACTCTTCCAGTAATACTGAAAATGGTATGATAGATTAAACTTTATTTACTCTTGAGTAATGGTTGCTTAAGCTCTGGGCATGGTAGGTGATTTGTGGCCTACAGATGTATCTTGGTTGCGGAGGCAAAAAATTGATGCCCATAGTGACTGGGAAGAAGTTACAGAAGTGTGAGAAGGGACTGCCAGTACCTTCCTGAGGGTGAGCAGGTTGTTAACTTTGCAGTTTATGTCAGAACATCTGTTGGCTGCCTACTTATTAAAAAAACCCCAAAACCCAACCAACCAACCGAAAAAAACCCACCACAAACCAGTCTCCAAAGCAAGCACAGCCTGTACTTTGACTATTGTTAGCTACTGGGCCAAATAATTCATCTGGCCTCTGTGGAAGACACAAGTTGTGATTAAAAACAAAACAAAAAAAGGTGAGTGTGAGAGAGCATGAAAGAAAAGAAAGGAAGGAAAGGAGGAAGGGAAGAAAAATGAAACACTGGAAAACAATAGGCCTCTGGTTGTAGCTGTGTAGAAACATCTGAGTTCCTTTTCTCAAGGTTTTCAAGAAATTCTGGCTCTTGGATTGCCCAGTGGCTATTGTTACAAAGCATCCTTCCCTTGTGCCATTGCCTCTGTTAATAGCATCATCCCTGATTCTGTCTTGTATCCATTATGAATATATGTTTCTAGGGGCAAATGCTGGAACCAGGCATATGCACTCTTTACAGCCGGGAACAAGGGTTGAAGTAAACACTTCTGTTCTTCCACAGAAAGGAAGGAAAACTTTCTCAGTATTTGATCACAGAATCACAGAAACACTAGGTTGGAAAGGACCTTCAAGACCATCAAGTCCAACCATTAATCCAGCGCCACCATGTCCCCTAGACCATGTCCTGAAGCACCACATCCACACGTTTCTTGAACACTTCCAGAGATGGCGACTCCACCACCTCCCTGGGCAGCCTGTTCCAATGCCTGACCACCCTCTCAGTGAAGAAATTTTTCCTAATATCCAATCTAAACCTCCCCTGGCGCAACTTGAAGCCATTTCCTCTTGTCCTATCGCTAGTTACTTGGGAGAAGAGGCCAACACCCTCGTCGCCACAACCCCCTTTCAGGTAGTTGTAGAGAGCGATAAGGTCTCCTCTCAGCCTCCTCTTCTCCAGACTAAACAACCCCAGTTCCCTCAGCCGCTCCTCATAAGACTTGTGCTCCAGACCCCTCACCAGCTTCGTTGCCCTTCTCTGGACACGCTCCAGCACCTCAGCATCCTTCTTGTAGTGAGGGGCCCAAAACTGAACACAGGATGTTATGTAGAATGCAGGGACTTTTACATGTTGGAAGTGTAGTGGGTGTAGATAGTTGTACATGCCCTGAATCTATCTGTACTTTTCCCTGTGATCATGTAAGAATTATCAGAATCATATCAGAATACTAGAAATTACAGAACTTAACTGGGAGAGACCTCTGGAGGTTACCTCGTCCCTCAGGACTGTCACCAGCACTAGATGAGGTCAGCTGTACCTTTGCCTAGCAGCATCTTTAAGACTTCCTGTCTTGAAGCTATGTATACCTGCCCTGCTCTGCACTACCCTTCTGATAAAGAAGTTTTTCTTAATGTCCTGTGAACCTCCAAACCTGCAGCTCATGGCTGTTTCCTCTTATTTTACCATGTGCTGCTACTTAGTGTTTGGCTTCAGTGTCTTTCTAATCCCCATTCAAGCAGTTGTATACTGTTAGACCTTTGCTTAGCCGCCTCTTTGACGGAGAGATCTGCTTCTTTGGAGTCTGCACTTTCTCTTAGTTCAAACAGAGTGTTGAGACCTGAAACTGTAGTAGTGCTGCAGCCTCACAGCACTGAGTAGACATGGATAATTTCCTTCGATCTGCTCACCATGCAGCCCAATATGGAATTTGTCTGATTTACAATGAGCGCATATTTAACTTGGTGCCCACTGTGACTTCTATGTCCTTTCTCAGCCCGTATCAATGTGGGATTATTTAACCCGAGGTGCAGAACTTTACTTTTTTTTTCTTGCTGATATTCATGTAGCTTCTGTTGGTCTAGTTGTCAAGGTTTCCTGTGGTCTATCTGCTAAGTGACACACATTGACCTTAAGCCCACCATTGGCTTTAAAAAATGAGCTTGTCTTACATCCCATATTGATCGAGTAGAATGTTTGCAGTACTCTTTAGGAAATAAGAAACAGTCCAGCCTCCATAAAATGGAAATAAAATAAACAGGACCAAGACCAATATTATTTTAAAAGATAAATGCTAAGTGATAGGGTAGAATTGTTAGATTTGAACTGTCATATTAAAATGAACTGCAAGGGTATGTGACCATTAAGCAAGTTACACTGGGTCTAGGACTGGTGCCTAGCCCAAATAGCAGAAGAGCATTAGAATATTCTTTGAAGGGGAGCAATGAAGGGTGAAGATGCTTTCTAGGATGGAATCTGGTAGGTTTTAGGTGGTGTTAGATTACACATTCACCTGTAATAACAGGTCCCTGGACATAAAGACCCAAGAGGTCATCTCAGCCCAGAAGGTCACATCCAGTCCTATGTTCCCTTTATGTAAAGAAGCTGTTGAAATTTTGCATATATGAAACTTCCTCTCTTTTGTCTCACCTTTTCTTTAGTACTATGATTTTGATACATGTTTTGCCCATAGCAAATGCCAACCATAACATTTTCATCTTCCTTATGTTGTCTTACATTATTTATTGTTCTATATCCAGGCTGCAGACTTAGTTATATGCAGGGAGACAGAAATAGCTATTACTGTGAAATGTGTACATGGTAGGACTTGCTTGAATTTAAACGTTTTTGCAGTATGTTTCTCAAGAGTATTGATAATTCATATTATTGTAACCTCTGTGGTGCTGTCTACCCAAAGAAATCTGATGGTGCTTCGTGCACAAACCATTCACACTTTTTCTGTGAGACCACTTCATTCTTGTTATCCAGTAACTCTTTCAGTTTAAATGGTGATAAATTAAGTGGAAGGGACAATTTTGAAATAAGTATTAGGAAAAAAATTTGGAGAAGGGAGTGACGAGAAGAAGGATGTCAATCAGTTTCACTGGGCTGGAAGATCTCATGCAAAATATAATACAGCTGAGAAGAAGCTGCCTTGGGTGAAGCTCTACAGTGTTTATGAAGTGTACTCAAAGCAGAGGAAAAAGGCAGGAGTATAAGACTGAGCTGAACAGAGAGTGAGATCAGGAAACCTTGCTTTGCACTAAGAGAAAATGTTACATCTCAAAGTGATCCCATGGTGCTGCTTGTTGGAGATGAAGACCTGGAGAGGAGTATGTAGTTTATTGATAAGCCTCTACATCTATTAAGTCACCAGTATCAGATATTAAGTGGGTATATCGCATCCTATACATAACCAATCCTAAATTGGTCTTTTGGTGGGGAGAAGAAATCTAGCCTTCCAGATTGAAGACCTGGCACATGAGAATATAAAGATGTTTGTTTAAATTGCCAGTGGTCAAATGTTGGTTTTTATTTGGTTGTATGTGAAAGTGCGAAGCTGTGTAACAAATAGCAAATACACGGTTTCATGTGTAATGTCTGTGCTATATTTGAGTATATGAGAGTAGAAGATATAGTCCATACAGTTAATGCTGTGCGTGGTAAGTGAGCTACATCCAGTGTTCCTGAACAAGTTTAAAAAAAATGAATCATTCTTTTTCTTGCACTCTTGGCTCTAGTATTTGCATAGCAACAGATAACTAAAGTATTATACAAAGTGATGAAATTATGATTTCTGAAGGTAAAAAGAACAAATGTGTTAACTGATCTGTTTTGATAGCAGTGACTTTTACAATTTATCCACATCAAATATGTTATTACTATAGAAAGAAGTCAAAAAATATATTACTCAGTTAGCTAGGAAAAGAGTTTCAATGTATAATCCTGTTTAAAGTAAGAATTTTGGTTAAATAAAGAAACTAATAATGTTTAAAGAAACAGCATTGAAACAAATCTGAAGTTGGAGCTTCAATGATACAAGGTGGTGATATATTAACTTAAAATTTCTTCAAGCGTCTTAGGGTGATTTAAAGAAATTCTGGTGATGTGTAAGGAAGAATGAGTCAATGTAAACTTCCATGTCAAGATGAAAAAGTTCTGAGATGGTGTAAAATTAAAGAATGAAGACCCTCTTAAATAGCTTATAACTTTTTGAATCTCCTTAGTATGGGATAACACTGCCTCAAACTCCCTTATTAGGCAGAACAAGGCTGATGTAATGAATAGTGAAGTAAGTATACCACTGCATACCTTCTAAGGATATTTCCAGTGCCCAGTTCTACAGCATTTTCTGGTTTTAATGCATGCAAAGAATCCTGTTGACCCGGATAGGACTATTTGCTTAAGCAAAGGTACAGTATACTTCCATGTTTGCAGAAACAGAGCCCTTTTCTCTCACAGAATGTGAAAACAGGAAAATCTTGTGCAATTATGTAATTATAACCTTGTCAGTACAGCTATCACTAAGTGCTATGTTATTAAAACCTGTAAAATAAAGTGCTGTGAAGTAATATATTTCTGTAGTCCTGATCAATACAACTTACCCGCTTACTGCAAATTCTGCCTAGTAAAACAGCTGTTAAATTACATTGTCTTTCATTTTACTTTTTTTGTTTTTTACAGGAAAAAGTAGAATATGCCTTCCTGATAATTTTTACAGTTGAAACATTTTTGAAGATTATAGCATATGGATTATTATTACACCCCAATGCATATGTTAGGAATGGATGGAATTTATTGGATTTTGTAATAGTAGTAGTAGGGTAAGTAACTTAACCTTCATTATACAAAGATTTTAATATCTTCTTTGCAGTGACGTAGGTGAGTAGTGATCTATTCTTGATTTCTATTCCTTTGGAACAAAAGAATGAACTGATGAGTGAAAAATTCAAAACAAAGTCTTGAAACTTTTCAGTACTCTCTGTGGCTGCAGAATGTGTTGCACAATCAGCTTAATCGTAAAAGTTCCTAGGGAAGTCTGAGTTCTGCCAAAAATTTTCCTTGGTTGTTGTCTTGCAGAATCTTTTCCATCTGATTTTTTCCAAGGTGAACTCCTGATGTCTTTCCATGTGATAAGGGTTGGTCTGTTTAGGTCCTTACACTGTTATGCCATTTATTCATTTATCCCTATACTGTGGTTATGTGGAGTTCATCTGTTCTACAAAGACCTCTGGGAGAACCCACATGTTCTGAAGTGGAGGAGAGTGGTCAGGAGACAGGGTTAACTGAGTGATTCCTTGAGCTTCTCAAAATCTGAGGAAAATTGGATACTTAAGTACTTTCCTTTGGGCTGCTGCACATCAGGGTGCATATATATAGGATTTTGGCTTGCCTGGGAGAAAATGTATGTTAAAAATGCCTTTTTTTTTTTTTTATTAACACCCTGTGTGCCTTTCCTGTACCAGGAAACCCAGGAGAGTTTGTTTTGCTCCTCAGAGGAGGGACTGCTTGGGCCTTATGCAGGTTACAGAAAAGTGGAATGTTCTCCAGTTATGCACCTGTTTGACAAATAACGCACCCGGCTTTTTTGTGAGCAACTTCGTGTCAATGGTTGTGCTAGTACGTTAGAAGATCCTACCTTCCAGCTGTCTAGGGAATTAATCTTGAGGCAGATATTCCCCAATTTCCTAAACATGGAAGAGATTGTATTGGGGGAAAAAAAAAGGAATTTCCAGTACTGCAGGTTTTGTTTACTGAAAACATTTATTGATATAACACGTAGAGAACGTTACCAACATCTAACTCTGTATGTTGTGGCTGGCTTGCAAAGATGACCACGGCATGCAGTGTGCAATTCTAATTTCATTTTTAAGTTGATACTATATCAAGGGTTGCCTGTAATTGAAAAGGCCCAGAAGTTGCAGTGTGTGCTACTCTTAACTCATGTCATTATATTAAGGGAAAAGAAAAAGATGCAAAGGAAAGGAATTTCTGCTAAAGCATTATTAAATTTGTGCAGGTATTACAAATGTATGAATACCCAGTTTATAACTATTTGATTCTGAGGTAGTAAATTTTACTGAGAAGTTTGTATTTGGGCCAGTTGCTTGGCATTCAGGCAGTTTTGGTCCAGGACTAGAATTTGTGTATAAATAGATCCTTCATCAGGTCAGGTCACTCTCAACAGATTGGCCTCTGTGCCTGAAGGGGAAGCTTGGTGGGCAGGCGTGGAGACTATCACACATAAGACCTCTATTCTCCTGCCAGGCAGTCACCTGAATAGACCTCTTCCCTCTTGTCAAGTGACAATGGAGTTATAGTAACCCTGGAGCAGTCTAATTAACATGACCTCTATCTTTGGCTGCGTCCTAAATACGTGATAACTAAAAAATTTTCCATTAACTCATAAAACACTCATTATTGGAGGCTAAATCTAGTTAGGTCAAATGTCACACTGAATTCAAGAAAAATACGAAGAAAAAAGGACTACATCTTATCACATACATAAAAATATCATACTGAGATTTAAATCCTATCTCAAAACCAAAAGATTTGGAATATAAACTATTGTGTAGGTTGTCATCAGTCTACCTGGAAGACAAGATGGACCCTTCATAAGGGTCAGGCGCTGACAAAACTGTGAGCAATATTTTTCTTCTTGCACTCTGTGAGCGGTATTTTTGTTTCTTCTTTTAAAAAGAATACAATCCACATAAACAAGTATGAGTCCATTTATTTAATTAATACTTAAATCAATTTGTCACTATATTTTTTCATATATAATCCAGGGTGGATATGGAATCACTTCTGGATCTGATTTTGACTAGCTTCATTGTGAAATTTCATTAGGGATTTTAATAGCTTTGAAAGAGCTGCCATGATGTCCTATATTGAATGTATTAGATGAAGTTTGTTTCATGTGCTTTCCCAGCAGAAACTGTAGCAGTCCAAATGCATAAATCTTAATTATACCACAATAAATCTCTACTAGCAAAAGGGAAGCACATATAGAGACTTTTTTCCACAACATCAAATTTGGCATTTAAACTTTGGTAAACTCTACAGGAAAAAAAGTTGATTTTAAAACTAGTAAAGGAGATCAATGGTTTTATACTTAAATACCTTTATAGGATGGCTTTATAGGATAGAGGTAAAATGACAGGGCTGTAGACATAGCTGTGAATGTGATGTTTTCTCCTGTCTTTGTCGCTTCTGTCTGAAACCGGTCAGAGTATGAATTAGTTTGAGCAGTCTACTACTTGCCCACACGCTATGCCACGTAACTTCCATTGATTTCTGTGAAAGAAAGCTTTCATAGCACCTTCCTATACCTGTAGCCTTTTAATTTTCTGAATAATGTATGGACTGACAGGCTGAAAACAGCTTTTCTTAATTTGGGACTTGATTCAGAAATCTGTTTAATCATGTCTGCTTTTAGAGCATGAATAGTCACTCTGAAATCATTGAGATGGCTCACTTTCTTAGAATTATCCTTCTATTAAATTATAGGGCTGGATCAGACCTGAAATATTAAAAGTCTGAATTTCTATAGTTATAGAGTATGTAGGCTGCTGGTGTTTATTCTAAGATCTGTAGTCCTGGTGGCTGGGTTTTACTCTGGAGGGGGATGAAGCAGAATAGGATGGGTATTGACTGATACAGGTCAGTTACTTACTGGGGGAAGAGAAAGTCTTCAGTGTCCTAGTTTGGGCAACCTATTAAATATTACATGATTTCCAGCAACTATCCAGCGTGACAGAGTTGTGAACCAGAGTTTTAAAAACTTTTCTTAACAAAACCAAAGACCTGCACATTTCAGCAGTCCTTAACAAGTGTGGAACATTTTTCAGGATTACAAAACTCTATTGACTTGGTCATCTCCTTGGTAAGGAGAGGTCCAGTTTTGCAACTACTGAATTACAGACTCTGTGCAAAGGATAATATGATTGCATGGTCTAGTCACAGTCTAGAAAACCATACATCTGCAACGCAGGTCCAAACTAAAATAAATAGAAGATTACTTTGCACTTCAACCACTTGTATCGCTTTGAATTTCTGCTAGAAGTGGGAAAGAAAAATAAAACTTTTGTCTTACAAACTGTTCTAATGAATGACTAGCTCATTTCTTCAGTGAAGAAATACTTTATAATAAATGAGTCATCTGGGAATATTTTTATTCTCAAAGATATTATATGTAAGAAACAAATCTTTTTGGTGTTATTAAATGTTGGACTCCATTTTTAATATATTCTGTTTCTGCTGACTGTATTTAGAATATTGAACTGCAGTGTCACTTAGAGTTCATATATTCCACCAAAATTAAAACAGATGGTTTCGTGTCGTTATCTATTTTACGTTCTAAAGAGAAGATTAATTTTCCAAACCTTATAACTAAAACAGTTGAACAAAGAAGTGGCAAAGTATTTAATTTATATAAAAATAGTAGATTGTGTATACAAGCAGAATGATAATTTATTGCATACTGTGTGATCGTTGCTCTCTGGAGTGATTAGAAACTCTTGCACTCTGTAACTCTTCAGGTCATGATTTAATGTGTAAATATACCTCTCGTTTTGACAGCTGAACAGCTTTTCAGAATTGTCTGTAGTTCAAGTAATTTCCTTTGACTGCATGGTAAATGGATGGTGATGACCCTACCCTTCATCTCATTTTCTAGATTATTTAGTGTAATATTGGAACAATTAACCAAAGAAACAGAAGGTGGCAGCCACTCAGGTGGCAAACCTGGTGGCTTTGATGTCAAAGCCCTAAGAGCCTTTCGTGTACTGCGACCTCTCCGGCTTGTATCAGGAGTGCCCAGTAAGCTCTCTTCTATTTAATTCCGTTGGAATGAATACTGTAACTAATCTATTATTTTACTTTCTTGTTCCAGACACTAACAGAAATGAGGTAATATAAAGTTGATTTTTTTGTTATTTGATTACATATATAAAATGAGTTTTGAGATGAATGATACCCTATTTCAAGTTGGACAAAGGATTGTGAATTCATTCAGTGTGTGATCTTCTTACACAGTTCAGTAAGCAGGCAGGGGAATACACTTCCTTTTTGGAAACCTTATATAAAGTAAATTACATGTTAAAATGCAAATACACCAGAAAAAAAAAGATCAGATTTTTTAAATTCCAAAACCCTGCAGATCTGAAAGTGTAGGTGGTCCTAAAATAGTTTATATGTTGGTAAGTGTATGCCAAAGCACATTACACATTTCATATTTCCTGCCCCCTCCACTGCACATGAATGCCTTCTGTTTATCTCAGTAGAACTAACAGATAAATTAGGAAACTTAAAGTAGCACAATATTATTTAAAGAAAGCAATTGAATTTTATGATAATATTTCCTGTTTTCTTTTAATACATTATTAATTACTGAAGCTCTTTAGGCTGAATAAAAGGTTAATGGCTTACAATTCAGCTCTTTCCAAGGCATTCAAAAGAAAAATCCTAATGCTGTGTTTATTATATCATAGTCTGTTACATGGAAATGATTGTGATGGTGTATATTTAGCAAAAGAACTTTAGTGAAGAAAGAAGCAGTCTTATGAAATGTCAGAAAGGAAATGTATTAAAGTAAAAATGAGCCATACTTCGTTCTCATTGGCACTGTAGCAGCTTCGTTAGTTTGGAGTTTACTTGTTTTGGTAAGACCAAAATATGGCAAAATATTTAATCACGGAGAAAAGAAAAAAATGAAGTATTTCTGAAAGTGATATGAGGGGTAAATGATGAAAAAGTAAGCTTGTTTAGAGTAAAAATGTCTTTTCCCAGGTGTGGTGGGTTGACCCTCGTTGGATGGCAGGTGCCCACCAAAACTGCTCTGTCACTCC